TCTGGTCTCACTCTCTGGTCTCACTCCCTGGTCTCACTCTCTGGTCTCACTCTCTGGTCTCACTCCCTGGTCTCACTCTCTGGTCTCACTCTCTGGTCTCACTCCCTGGTCTCACTCTCTGGTCTCACTCTCTGGTCTCACTCTCTGGTCTCACTCTCGGTCTCTCTCTCTGGTCTCTCTCTCTGGTCTCACTCTCTGGTCTCCCTCTCTGGTCTCACTCCCTGGTCTCACTCTCTGGTCTCACTCCCTGGTCTCACTCTGGTCTTTCTCTGGCGTGGATGGATCTAAAAACAACCTTGGGTCACTTGTGCGTCTCCTTCACACACGCTGCCTCCAGAGACTAAATCGCTTTGGTGTATGAGGTCCTGGCTCCGGTTAGAAAATCTTTTTCTTTCAGAAAAAAACAACAAAAAAAGTCAAAGCATTTATCACAGAACTGCTCTGTCTGCAGCTGATGGATGTGTCTGCACTACAGAGAGAGACCAGAGAGAGACCAGAGAGAGACCAGGGAGGGACCAGGGAGGGACCAGAGAGAGACCAGGGAGAGACCAGGGAGGGACCAGGGAGAGACCAGGAAGGAACCAGGGAGAGACCAGAGAGAGAGACCAGGGAGAGACCAGGGAAAAGACGATGGAGGGACCAGAGAGAGACCAGGGAGAGACCAGGGAGGGACCAGGGAGGGACCAGGGAGGGACCAGGGAGGGACCAGAGAGAGACCAGAGAGGGACCAGGGAGAAACCAGGGAGAGACCAGAGAGAGACCAGGAAGGAACCAGGGAGAGACCAGAGAGAGACCAGGGAGAGACCAGGGAAAAGACGATGGAGGGACCAGAGAGAGACCAGGGAGGGACCAGGGAGGGACCAGGGAGAGACCAGGGAGAGACTATGTAGGGACCAGGGAGGGACCAGGCAAAGACCAGACAGAGGTCTCTTTGACCAGAGAGAGACCAGGGAGGAACCAACTACGGAGAGACCAGAGATAGACCAGAGAGAGACCAGAGAGAAACCAGGGAGGGACCAGAGAGAGACCAGGGACCAGTAAGAGATTAGGGAGGGACTAGTGGACTAGTGGAAGACCAAGGAGAGACCAGAGAGAGACCAGACAGAGACCAGACAGAGACTAGACAGAGACCACAGAGAGATCACAGTGACATCTCTCTGTGGTCTCACTCTGGTCTATGTCTAAAGGACTAATCTGCAGTCATTATGTTTGGGAAATACACCACACCACCTTGCTTTCCCTCGATAAATTATTAAAGTGAATATTTAAGAATTTACAATCCCGCTTTCACTTGTTTAAATGCCACCACTTTCTGCAATAACCAGTTTCCACAGCATTAAACCAGCTGCAGGGACCAGCTGCAGGGACCAAGCACAAATACTAATCTAAAATCACACAAAATATGGACGACATCAAATAAGAGAATGCCACAAAAGTGAGTGACGTACGTACAGTATAAGGTCTGTAGCAACGGCCTCAGTGTGATGTCATTGTCGTCTCCCGCTGGTCTCTCTGGTGTCTCTGGTTTCATTCTTTGGTCTCTCTGGTCTCACTCTGATCTCTCTCTCCAGTCTTTCTCTCTGGTCTCACTCTGGTCTCTCACTCTGGTCTCTCACTCTGGTCTCTCTCTCTAGTGTCTCTCTGGTCTCTCACTCTGGTCTCACTCTGGTCTCACTCTGGTCTCACTCTGGTCTCACTCACCGGCCTCACTCACCGGTCTCTCCCTCCGGTCTCTCCCTCCGGTCTCTCCCTTTGGTCTCTCTCTCAGGCTCTCTCTCTGGTCTCTCTCTCTGGTCTCTGTCTCTGGTCTCTCTCTCTGGTCTCTCTCTCTGGTCTCTCTCTCTGGTCTCTGTCTCTGGTCTCTCTCTCTGGTCTCTCTCTGGTCTCTCTCTCTGGTCTCTCTCTGGTCTCTGTCTCTGGTCTCTCTCTGGTCTCTCTCTCTGGTCTCTCTCTCTGGTCTCTGTCTCTGGTCTCTCTCTCTGGTCTCTCTCTCTGGTCTCTCTCTCTGGTCTCTCTCTCTGGTCTCTCTCTGGTCTCTCTCTCTGGTCTCTCTCTCTGGTTCTCTGTCTCTGGTCTCTCTCTCTGGTCTCTCTCTGGTCTCTCTCTCTGGTCTCTCTCTCTGGTCTCTCTCTCTGGTCTCTCTCTCTGGTCTCTCTCTCTGGTCTCTCTCTCTGGTCTCTCTCTGGTCTCTCTCTCTGGTCTCTCTCTCTGGTCTATCTCTCTGGTCTCTCTCTCTGGTCTCTCTCTGGTCTCTCTCTGGTCTCTCTCTCTGGTCTCTCTCTCTGGTCTCTCTCTCTGGTCTCTCTCTCTGGTCTCTCTCTCTCTCTCTGGTCTCTCTCTCTGGTCTCTCTCTCTGGTCTCTGGTCTCTCTCTGGTCTCTCTCTGGTCTCTCTCTGGTCTCTCTCTCTCTCTCTCTGGTCTCTCTCTCTGGTCTCTCTCTCTCTGTCTCTGGTCTCTCTCTGGTCTCTCCCTCTGGTCTCTCTCTCTCTGGTCTCTCTCTGGTCTCTCTCTCTGGTCTCTCTCTGGTCTCTCTCTCTGTCTCTCTCTCTGGTCTCTCTCTCTGGTCTCTCTCTGGTCTCTCTCTCTGGTCTCTCTCTGGTCTCTCTCTGGTCTCTCTCTCTGGGTCTCTCTCTCTGGTCTCTCTCTCTGGTCTCTCTCTCTGGTCTCTCTCTCTGGTCTCTGTCTCTGGTCTCTCTCTGGTCTCTCCCTCTGGTCTCTCTCTCTCTGGTCTCTCTCTGGTCTCTCTCTCTGGTCTCTCTCTCTGGTCTCTCTCTCTGGTCTCTATCTCTCTGAGTGTCCCACACACTGACCATATGATTCTTCTACTGCCCCACAGCTGATGGATCATCCACAGACAATATACTCCCCCAGGTTTTCTTTGGAGGATGAGGAGGAGGAAAAGGAAGAGGAAGAGGAGGAGCAGGAGGAGGAGACGCTAGTGGATGATGGAAATAGGTGCATTTCTCTTTGAGTGCAGTGTGACTGTTGTATCTTCTAAATGAAGTCTCCTCCAATTTAATCATCTTTAGAAAAGTAATTTAAAGAGACCAGAGAGAGACCAGAGAGAGACCATTGAGAGACCAGAGAGAGACCAGAGAGAGACCATAGAGGGACCAGAAAGAGGCCAGGGAGAGGCCAGCGAGAGACCAGAGAGACTAGAGAGAGAGGCCAGAGAGAGTCCGGAGAAAGACCAGAGAGAGAGACCAGATAGACTAGAGAGAGACAAGATATAGAGACCAGAGAAAGACCAGAAAGAGTGCAGAGAGACCAGAGAGAGTCCTGATAAACCAGTCAGAGAGACCAGACAGAAACTAGAGAGGCCAAGGAACTGGTTGGATGGGTGATATTAAACAGCAAAAAGTGCGCTTTGAAACTAGGTACCCCAGCTTTAAATCCATAAACAAAGAGTCCGAATGGTACTGTATCTATCTTTGCTGATGCTGAGGAGAACATTAGTTTTAAAAGTCGTCTGGGGAAACTTCTCACTCCTCTGGATTCTGTTCACGTCTCGTCCCTGTGTCCAGCATTAGCCATCGCACCCAGGGACAGAGCAGTGATGGATCTCCCCCTCCAGCCCTCTCCAGCCTCACCCACACACAGGGGGGAGGAGGGGGGAGGACACACACACACACACACAGGCCTCAGATCTGATCCTGTCTGCCTCTCACACACCTCTTCATCAGCAGAGAGGAGTGTGGGCATAAACAAGGACAAAGACACAGATGTGAATCCAGGAGAAAGTCCACGAATCAGAATTCTGTTTCAAACTGTTTAGTAATTCAACTGAAGCTGTTAAGTTGAAACCTTATTATTGTAAAATAAGAGTTCATTTGCAACAACGGATTCTCAGTATTGCTGTCGTGTCTCTCTCGCGGGTCTCTGGTGTCTCTCTGGGGTCTCTCTGGGGTCTCTCTGGGGTCTCTCTGGGGTCTCTCTGGGGTCTCTCTGGGGTCTCTCTCGGATCTCTCTCGGGTCTCTCTCTGGTCTCTCTCTCTGGTTTTGCTCTTTGGTCTCTCTCTCTGGGCTCTCTCTCTGGTCTCTCTCTCTGGTCTCTCCCTCTGATCCCTCTCTCTGGTCTCTCTATCTTGTCTCTCTATCTTGTCTCTCTATCTAGTCTCTCTATCTGGTCTCTCTCTCTATGGTCTTGCTCTCTCTGGTCTCTCTCTCTGGTCTCTCTCTCTGGTCTCTCTCTCTCTGATCTCTCTATCTAGTCTCTCTCTCTGGTCTCTCTATCTGGTCTCTCTCTCTGGTCTCTCTCTCTGGTCTCTCTCTCTGGTTTTGCTCTTTGGTCTCTCTCTCTGGGCTCTCTCTCTGGTCTCTCTCTCTGGTCTCTCCCTCTGATCCCTCTCTCTGGTCTCTCTATCTTGTCTCTCTATCTTGTCTCTCTATCTAGTCTCTCTATCTGGTCTCTCTCTCTATGGTCTTGCTCTCTCTGGTCTCTCTCTCTGGTCTCTCTCTCTGGTCTCTCTCTCTCTGATCTCTCTATCTAGTCTCTCTCTCTGGTCTCTCTATCTGGTCTCTCTCTCTGGTCTCTCTCTTTGATCTCTCTCTCTAATCTCTCTCTCTGGTCTCTCTCTCTCTGATCTCTCTATCTAGTCTCTCTCTCTGATCTCTCTCTCTCTGGTCTCTCTCTCTGGTCTCTCTCTCTGGTCTCTCTCTGGTCTCTCTCTCTGGTCTCTCTCTCTGGTCTCTCTCTCTGGTCTCTCTCTGGTCTCTCTCTCTGGTCTCTCTCTCTGGTCTCTCTCTCTGGTCTCTCCCTCTGGTCTCTCTCTCTGGTCTCTCTCTCTGGTCTCTCTCTCTGGTCTCTCTCTCTGGTCTCTCTCTCTGGTCTCTCTCTCTGGTCTCTCTCTCTGGTCTCTCTCTCTGGTCTCTCTCTCTGGTCTCTCTCTCTGGTCTCTCCCTCTGGTCTCTCTCTCTGGTCTCTGTTGTTTGTGAAAAGTAGGACTGCAGTAAAGTTTAAGCAGAAGTAAATCAGAACAACAAAGACCTCTGGAGAGGAGTTAGCCTGCTGCCAACACAGTCCTGCCTGGCTCTCCATCAGCCCCTGTGGTTCCTCCAGGCGAACGCAGAACAGGCTCCACATCTGTGCATTCGGGACCCTCTACTCCGCCTGCGGCTAGAACCCGACTGGAGACAAAAGAGCAAAACTACAAACGACAAACCAGGAAACTGGTTCAAAGAGGAGGAGGAGAGGAGGAGGAGGGGAGGAGGAAGCAGCAACGATTGATGGGAGGAAAGAGGAGAGAGACGGGAAGGGGGAGATAGAGAGGAGAGAAGAGAGAGAGGAGAGGGAGGAGAGGGATAGAGGAGAGCTAGGAGAGGAGAGAGAGGAGAGAGAGGAGAGGGAGGAGAGAGGGAGAGAGGAGAGGGAGGAGAGGAGAGAGAGGAGAGGGAGGAGAAGAGAGATAGAGAGGAGAGAAGAGAAGAGAGAGAGGAGAGGGAGGAAAGGAGAAAGAGGAGAGGGAGGAGAGGGATAGAGGAGAGCTAGGAGAGGAGCTAGGAGAGCTAGGAGAGGAGAGGAGAGAGAGGAGAGGGAGGAGAAGAGAGAGAGAGGAGAGAAGAGAGGGAGAGAGGAGAAGGAGGAGAGGAGAGAGAGGAGAGGGAGGAGAAGAGAGAGAGAGGAGAGAAGAGAGGGAGAGAGGAGAAGGAGGAGAGGAGAGAGAGGAGAGGGAGGAGAAGAGAGATAGAGAGGAGAGGGAGGAGAGGGGAGAGAGGGAGAGCTAGGAGAGGAGCTAGGAGAGCTAAGAGGAGAGGAGAGGGAGGAGAAGGAGGAGAGGAGAGAGAGGAGAAGGAGGAGAGGAGAGAGAGGAGAGGGAGGAGAAGAGAGATAGAGAGGAGAGGGAGGAGAGGGAGAGAGGAAAGAGAGGAGCGAGAAGAGAGGGGAGGAGGGAGGAGAGCGAAGAGGCAGCAGGAGGCCAGTCCCTGTGCTCCTCCGAGTCCCAGCAGGAGGCCAGTCCCTGTGCTCCTCAGAGTCCCAGCAGGAGGCCAGTCCCTGTGCTCCTCAGAGTCCCAGCAGGAGGCCAGTCCCTGTGCTCCTCAGAGTTCCAGCAGGAGGCCAGTCCCTGTGCTACCCCAGTCTAAAGCCGCCTCCAAACCCACAGTAAATCTCTCTCCAGCTGTAATTAAATCCCAGTGTTTGTGTTTAAAGCTTCAGGTCTGAATGTGGGACTTTGGCTCTTGACAGTTCTGTTGTTATGTCTCCGTGTGTGAAATATATACTTTAAAACTCCAGTGCTCTGACGTCTGGCTCCTGATCTTGGCCCTGTTTCACTTCGGCCCCAAACAAACGAACGCTGCTCATCAGACGCTGACAGCAGATAAGCAGCGTTTGAAGCAGAATGTGGCGGATTCAGAATAAAGAGGTGAAAACAACAAACAGTGATAATACATTGTGTGGTGCATTTCAAAAGAACCGGACGTGAGTCTTTGAGGTCTGCATTAAAGCTGCACTAACTGACTTTATTTTTGTATTCATTACGAAAATGCTATCCATGTCCATGTAGGGCATTGGGATATACATCATTTTGAAGAAAAAGTAGCGCAGATTTGTGCTGGCGTGACATTATATTTTAGATCGAGTTTTGATGAAACAAGGAAGAGAATGTGTTTCGGGTCGCAGATTGTGACCAATCACAGCGCACCACTGGCCCCCACTTTCGTGAGAAATCTACAGGTCCGTTAGCATAGACGGCTGAGTTAGCACAACAAGCCGAGGAGCTAACCTGAAGCTTCCGTGTCTTCGTCATCGGTTACTGCTTACACAGCGACACAGCCATCCAAAAGAAAGTCTCGTTCCTCCGCACTTCCCGGTTGTATCGTTCTATGGTCACGCCATCCACGTGAAAATCCATATCCATGTTTTATCCATATTGAGAGACACTAGCTCCGTCTCAACAGTGGGTGTGTGTGGGGCGATAGCTTCGTGGGTGCGGGGAGGGGAGCAGAAAGAGAGAGGCCAGCGAGTCCACGGCTTCAAAATCCCAAAGTCAGTTAGTGCAGCTTTAACCAGGAGTCTGAGTGATGACGGCTAACGGCGCATGCTAGCAGACAAGCGAAGATGTGTGTGTTCAAAGTGAATCGGATGGACGTTTAGCAGTGTGTGTCAAAGTGTCAAAGGAACCCAAAATACAGGACTGAGAATAAGGGGTGGTTTAATGAGATGGCCAGACTTCCTCCGGCTCATCTGGCGGAATCTCTCTCTCTCTCGTCTCTCTCGTCTTTCTCTTTCCCCCACCCGAACATGAAGCCACCTGCGTGTACGGCTAACAACAGATCAACATCTTATGGAGGGTGCAATGGACCTTGAATGTGTGAGCAAGAACAAGATCAACAAAATTATCTCAATACTCTCCAATTCTACAGCCAAAGCTCTTTCCATAATAACACCAAGACATTTCCACAGATCCAATCACGTACACAACGAACCACTCAGTGAATGTGTATTTCTGTCATCTTCGAAAACAGCATGGGCAACACCTATTTTTAAATGCGGAAATCGGAAGGACGATAAGCACTGCAGACCAATTAGTATATTTCCGGCGGTCTCAACGGTGATTGAAAAAATAGTTACTGAACAGCTGATAACACCTCGACAAGAGAAAACACGTTAAGGCAAACGAAATTCGGCTTTTCAATACGTTCTACCGACTTGGCATGTGAGACCATGTTTTATTTAACTGCAGTGATCAAATCCATGCTAGACAAGGTCGGGGTGGTGGGCGCAGTTTTTCTGGATCTACGAAATTCATTTGACAAAGTAAACTGAACACTGACGCAGGCAAAGTCTCAATCTTAATCTTGTTAGATCTAAGTGCTGCCTTTGACACCGTCGACCATGAGATCCTCTTACAGAGACTAGAGGACTGGGTTGGAGTCGCTGGCACCGCCCTAAGTTGGTTTAGGTCTTACCTTGAAGACAGGAAGTACTTTGTGGAGATTGGAAACTGTGTCTCAGATCATATGGCCCTGACCTGTGGAGTCCCACAGGGGTCGATCCTGGGACCTCTTCTGTTCAATCTCTACATGCTGCCGTTAGGTCAGTTAATACGCAGAAACAAAGTTTCCTATCATAACTATGCAGACGACACTCAGATCTATGTCTCACTGACTGCAGGAGAACATGGACCAGTGGACTCACTCCTTCACTGTATCCAACAGATCAGTGAGTGGATGCAAAACAACTTCCTTCAGCTAAACGCAGACAAAACTGAAATGATTGTCTTTGGTCCCCAGAAACAAAGAGAGAGCGTCATCTGTCACCTACAGTCTCTCTCCCTAAAACCTTCAAACAAGGTCAGAAGTCTAGGGGTAATACTGGACTCAGACTTAAATTTTAATAGCCACATCAAATCAGTAACATCAGCAGCTTTTTACCATCTAAAAAACATTGCCAGGATCAAAAACATAGTGTCTAAAGCAGACTTGGAGATTCTTATCCATGCATTTGTCTCCAGTAGGTTAGACTACTGCAATGGCCTGCTCACAGGTCTGTCCAAACAGGCTGTAAAACAGCTGCAGTACATTCAAAATGCAGCAGCTCGAGTCCTGACTAGAACCAGGAAGTACGACCACATTAGTCCTGACTAGAACCAGGAAGTACGACCACATTAGTCCTGACAAGAACCAGGAAGTACGACCACATTAGTCCTGACAAGAACCAGGAAGTACGACCACATTAGTCCTGACTAGAACCAGGAAGTACGACCACATTAGTCCTGACAAGAACCAGGAAGTACGACCACATTAGTCCTGACTAGAACCAGGAAGTACGACCACATTAGTCCAGTTCTCAGGTCTCTGCACTGGCTTCCTGTGGCTCAGAGAATAGACTTTAAAACAGCTCTGCTTGTTACAAGTCTCTCCATAGCCTCGCACCAAAATATATTAGTGACATGTTAGTCCCATATGAACCAGCCCGGACTCTGAGGAGCACAGGGACTGGACTCCTGCTGGGACTCTGAGGAGCACAGGGACTGGACTCCTGTTAGTGCCCAGAGTCAGAACTAAACATGGGGAGGCTGCTTTTCAGATTCATGCTGCTAAAATCTGGAACAATCTTCCTGAAGATGTGAGACAGGCCTCCTCTCTGACAATGTTTAAAACCAGGTTAAAAACGGTGCTGGGATTTTATATTTTTATCTTTCGTTTTAATGTTCTGTAATTATTTATGATTTTAATGCTATCTTGTTCAGCACTTTGAGTTGCCTTGTGTATGAATTGTGCTATACAAACAAAACTTGCCTTGCCTTGCCTTGCCTTAAACCACTCAGTTCTGCTAACAAAACTGCAACATTTCAACCTTTCAGTAAACACCTTCAGTTGGTTTCAGTCTTCTCTTGCAGACTGTCATCAGGACGCTCGAATAAACGAAAATATTTTGCTACAGGAGTCCCCCAAGGGTCGATACTTGGGCAGCTCCTGTTCAGTGCGTACATCACCTCCCCTCCATCTGCAATCATGTGGAGGTATTGATGTTCTTTTCACAGTTCTGATGCTAGCTCTGTAGCAGCTAAACTCTCCGAGGTAATCGAAAACGCAGCAGAGTGGCTTGACCTTGCTCTGAACACAGACAAAACTGTCACAAATGTTTCAAAACAAACCAAATCAAAGTGTTCTCCCAAATATTATGTGAAGAACTACATGATCCAGAATGTTCAAGAAATCAAACCCCTCATGTAACAAGCAGAGTGAGAGGTCTGTATCCTCATGTAACAAGCAGAGTGAGAGGTCTGTATCCTCATGTAACAAGCAGAGAGAGAGGTCTGTATCCTCATGTAACAAGCAGAGTGAGAGGTCTGTATCCTCATGTAACAAGCAGAGAGAGAGGTCTGTATCCTCATGTAACGCACAGAGTGAGAGGTCTGTATCCTCATGTAACGCGCAGAGTGAGAGGTCTGTATCCTCATGTAACAAGCAGAGAGAGAGGTCTGTATCCTCATGTAACAAGCAGAGTGAGAGGTCTGTATCCTCATGTAACAAGCAGAGTGAGAGGTCTGTATCCTCATGTAACAAGCAGAGTGAGAGGTCTGTATCCTCATGTAACAAGCAGAGTGAGAGGTCTGTATCCTCATGTAACAAGCAGAGAGAGAGGTCTGTATCCTCATGTAACAAGCAGAGTGAGAGGTCTGTATCCTCATGTAACAAGCAGAGTGAGAGGTCTGTATCCTCATGTAACAAGCAGAGTGAGAGGTCTGTATCCTCATGTAACAAGCAGAGTGAGAGGTCTGTATCCTCATGTAACAAGCAGAGTGAGAGGTCTGTATCCTCATGTAACAAGCAGAGAGAGAGGTCTGTATCCTCATGTAACAAGCAGAGAGAGAGGTCTGTATCCTCATGTAACAAGCAGAGAGAGAGGTCTGTATCCTCATGTAACAAGCAGAGTGAGAGGTCTGTATCCTCATGTAACAAGCAGAGAGAGAGGTCTGTATCCTCATGTAACAAGCAGAGTGAGAGGTCTGTATCCTCATGTAACAAGCAGAGTGAGAGGTCTGTATCCTCATGTAACAAGCAGAGTGAGAGGTCTGTATCCTCATGTAACAAGCAGAGTGAGAGGTCTGTATCCTCATATAACAAGCAGAGTGAGAGGTCTGTATCCTCATGTAACAAGCAGAGTGAGAGGTCTGTATCCTCATGTAACAAGCAGAGTGAGAGGTCTGTATCCTCATGTAACAAGCAGAGTGAGAGGTCTGTATCCTCATGTAACAAGCAGAGTGAGAGGTCTGTATCCTCATGTAACAAGCAGAGTGAGAGGTCTGTATCCTCATGTAACAAGCAGAGTGAGAGGTCTGTATCCTCATGTAACAAGCAGAGTGAGAGGTCTGTATCCTCATGTAACAAGCAGAGTGAGAGGTCTGTATCCTCATGTAACAAGCAGAGTGAGAGGTCTGTATCCTCATGTAACAAGCAGAGAGAGAGGTCTGTATCCTCATGTAACGCACAGAGTGAGAGGTCTGTATCCTCATGTAACAAGCAGAGTGAGAGGTCTGTATCCTCATGTAACGCACAGAGTGAGAGGTCTGTATCCTCATGTAACAAGCAGAGTGAGAGGTCTGTATCCTCATGTAACGCGCAGAGTGAGAGGTCTGTATCCTCATGTAACAAGCAGAGTGAGAGGTCTGTATCCTCATGTAACAAGCAGAGAGAGAGGTCTGTATCCTCATGTAACAAGCAGAGTGAGAGGTCTGTATCCTCATGTAACAAGCAGAGTGAGAGGTCTGTATCCTCATGTAACAAGCAGAGAGAGAGGTCTGTATCCTCATGTAACAAGCAGAGTGAGAGGTCTGTATCCTCATGTAACAAGCAGAGAGAGACCAATACCAGATCTCTGCATCTGAAAATCTGGAGATGGAACCTTTAAAATACAGTACAGACCAAAAGTTTGGACACACCTTCTCATTCAAAGAGTTTTTTTATTTTTATGATTATGAAAATTGTACATTCACACTGAAGGCATCAAAACTATGAATGAACTCATGTGGAATTATGTACTTACTCAAAAAAGTATAAAACAACTGAAAATATGTCTTTTTCTCTGATACTGCTTCACTCTTGGCTTTCTCTGGATGAGCTTCAAGAGGACCTGAAATGGTCTCCAACAGTCTTGATGGAGTTCCCATGATGCTTAGCACTTGTTGGCCCCTTCACTCTGTGGTCCAGCCCCAACACCATCTGGACTGGGTTCAGGTCCGGTGACTGGAGCCCGGGTCATGTGGCCCAGAGCACCATGACTCTCCTTACACAGCCTGGTGTCAATAGTCATGGAAAGAAACTCATTGAATCAGAAAGTGTGTCCAAACTTTTGGTCTGTACTGTATTTACCACTAAAACATGCAGTAATTAAACAGTACTATCTTCTTTTACTAATTACAATGACTTTATTAATCCTCAGACATAATACATTTCTTAGATTGAAAATACATCCACTTTTTAATTGAATCTATTGTTGTCAAAGTTCCATTTCTTTTCCTTTTTGCAGATAAAAGCAGAAAGTTTAGTCTTAGTCCAAGTCCAGAAGAATCCAGTCTGTTTAAAGAGCGACTAAACACCTGTGACCAGCCTTACTCCGCCCACATGAAGATTTGAAAATGTTCTCTAAAAAGGCCGTTGCCTGGAGGACCAAGGGACAAGAAGGGGGGCTTAGAGTTGGGCGTGCTCTGGGCTGTGATTGACAGCTCACTTGTCACACAAAAAAAAAAAACAGACAGTTGTCATTGCTGCTTAAAGCAATAGTTTACAGACCAGAAAGTCTCATTCCACCCTTGTTTACACACTAAGATAATTGTAAAGCTACACACCTGAACCTAATCACACTCAATAATCTCAGAATGACTCATGTAATTTAATTTTAATCCACTAGATGGCGCCAGAATACTCCAAACTGCAGCTGGGGCGTGTGTGAGAGTTGAATGGGTTTATATCACTGGCTCTGACAGACTGACGTCACACAAAACAACTGATGTCATAGAGAACTTCAGAGTCAATGGAGAGGCCAGGACCAAATTCAAATGTAGTACCACCAAAAAGGTGGAGAGGGCACCACACAGCGTTTTTTGGCTCAAAAGTGATATTTTATCTAATTTGAACTAAAATGTCAAAAAAAATGACCAGGATATGTAGACAGCACTACAATAAACATACTTATGCAGTTTATGAGTTAAAAAAAGTTGATTTGGTGTTTAGTCGCTCTTTAAGTACTGCTAAACGTTTGTCCCACGTGCAGAGAGGAGTTTTTCAGTTATTCAGAGCATAACCTTTGGAATCACAGCTTTAGAAATGTCTGTTCTTCACTGTACGACTCTGACCATGTTTTCCACCTCCTTAAAAATGTTTGGGCTCAACTCTGTCCTCTGCTGCAGCGGTAACCCATCTGTGGTTTTTATATATTTAGCCTGTGAGCCATGAGAAACAGACAAGAGGGGGAGGAGAGAGAGGGAGGGAGGGAAGAGGGAGAGAGAGAGGAGAGAAGAGAGAGGAGAGAGAGAGGAGAGAGATAGGGGAGGAGAGAGAGAGGGGAGAGAGAGAAAGGAGAGAGAGCAGAGAGAGAGGGAGAGAAGAGAGAGAGAGAGATGAGAGAGATAGGGGAGGAGAGAGAGGAGAGAAGAGAGAGAGGGGAGAGAGAGAGAGGAGAGAGAGCAGAGAGAGAGGAGTGAAGAGAGAGGGGTGAGAAGAGAGCGAGAGAGTAGAGAAGAGAGAGAGAGAAAGAGAGAGGAGAAAAGAGCGAGAGAGAGAGAGAGGAGAGAAGAGAGAGAGGGAGAGAAGAGAGAGAGATGAGAGAGATAGGGGAGGAGAGAGAGGAGAGAAGAGAGAGAGGGGAGAGAGAGAGGAGAGAGAGCAGAGAGAGAGGAGTGAAGAGCGAGAGAGATGAGAGAAGAGAAGAGAGAGAGGGAGAGAAGAGAGAGAGAGAGAGAGGAGAGGGCAGAGAGAGGAGAGAAGAGAGAGGGGTGAAAGCAGAGAGAGATAGGAAAGAGAGATTGGAGAGAGGGAAGAGAGCAGAGACAGAAGAGAGTGGGAGAAGGGAGGTGGTGAGAGAGAGAGGAGAAAGAGAGTCCATGAGAGAAGAAGAGAGAACCATGTCCAAAACGGCGGCACGGTGGCTGAGTGGATAGCACTCTCGCCTCTCAGCAAGAAGGTCCTGGGTTCGAATCCCGGCCGGACCAGGGCCTTTCTGAGTGGAGTTTGCATGTTCTCCCCGTGTCTGCGTAGGTTTCCTCCGGGTACTCCGGTTTCCCCTACCACTAAAAATATGTCCAATAGTTCTGGCATGTGCCTCCTGTACTGGCGACCCTGCTCCCATCTCTGTGTGGAGTGAGAGACAAATGCCCAAAAATTAACAATTGTAAACCGCTTTGAGACTCAGATCTGCAGTGAAAAGGCGGTATATAAATAATAACTTACTTACTTACTACTTACTTACTTACAAAACCAGAGCCAGGTCCAGAACCATGTCCAAAACCAGAGCCAGGTCCAGAACCATGTCCAAAACCAGAGCCAGGTCCAGAACCATGTCCAAAACCAGAGCCAGGTCCAGAACCAGGTCCAGAGAGCCATCATTATCACGCAGGCGTCAGCACAGAGACTTACATGAAAGAAACCGCAGAGAGAGAGTCCAGAGGGAGAGAAACCAGAAAGAGAGACCAGAGAGAGACCAAAAAGAGAGACCAGAGAGAGACACAAGAAAGGGACCAGAGAGAGACACCAGAGAGAGAGACCAGAGAGAGAGACCAGAGAGAGAGACCAAAAAGAGAGACCAGAGTGAGACACAAGAAAGGGACCAGAGAGAGAGACCAGAGAGAGACAGGAGAGACACCAGAGAGAGAGACCATAGAGAGAGACCAGAGATAGACCAGAGAGAGAGACCAGAGAGCGAAAGAGAGGCCAGAGAAAGACCAAAGAGAAAGAATGGAGAGAGAGAGCAGAAAGAGACAAGAGAGTGCAACAGAGAGAGAGAGAGACCTGTATGTATGTTTGGCCTCTGTCACATTTTTAGATCAAAGGGACTGGACTCCTGCTGGGACGCTGAGGAGCACAGGGACTGGCCTCCTGCTGGGACGCTGAGGAGCACAGGGACTGGACTCCTGCTGGGACTCTGAGGAGCACAGGGACCGGCCTCCTGCTGGTCCCAGAGTCAGGACTAAACGTGGGGAGGCGTTGGAGAGAGAGGGAGAGAGCAGGTAGCTCACCGATCATATAATGAGGGTGATGGCAGAGGACAGGACCAAAACAATGGCTGCGGCAGACGCTTTAAAACACGCAATCACATTTTAATTGCCGCCGCTGTCGTTCTGCTCGGCTAAACTGAGCTAACGTTTGTGCCGCGCTCAATTTGTGCCGAGACTTCTCCCCATAAACAACCTGCCATCGCCGACAACATCAGAGACCTGCCGCCTGCCGACGCTAAGACCCACAACCAGGGGATGTGCTAATGTCAAGTTACAGATTAGGATTAGATTAAGATTAAGAGATACTTTGTCCCACAGTGGGGAAATGTCAGTGTTGCATTAACAGGTACAGAACAGTAGGAATGAGGAGCACACAACACAAGATAAATGAACAATAACTCTATACTGAATAGAATAAAATAAATTCTCAAACGCTAGCATCAAAAGGAACAAGTATAAAATCTGTACCTTTGGCATAATATGAAGCAAGAATAAAGTAGTGTGTATTCTAGAGTAAATAATATATAGTTTTATGGTTGTATGTTTACATGGGTCTGGTTAGCGGAGTGAGGGTCTAAAGTGACAGAGTAGAGCCACAGTGGACACATGTTGCACATCAGGTCACTGTCTGAAAGGAGGTCATGTTGAAACAAGGAGAAAAATTGATGGAGGATTTGCCCTAAAAACTAGTGTTAGCAAAAAATTATTAGCATAGCATTAACCGCAACAGCTAACACAAGAACCAGTACCTGATTTTGGACAATGCTAAGGTGGCTAACTATTGCTTATGTGGCTAACTGAAGCTAACTCGTTCTGTGGCTAACTGAAGCTAACTTGTACTAATGTGGCTAACTGAAGCTAAGTCGTTCTAATGTGGCTAACTGAAGCTAACTCGTTCTGTGGCTAACTGAAGCTAAGTCGTTCTAATGTGGCTAACTGAAGCTAACTCGTTCTGTGGCTAACTGAAGCTAACTCGTTCTGTGGCTAACTGAAGCTAAGTCGTTCTGTGGCTAACTGAAGCTAAGTCGTTCTGTGGCTAACTGAAGCTAACTCGTTCTGTGGCTAACTGAAGCTAACTCGTTCTGTGGCTAACTGAAGCTAACTCGTTCTGTGGCTAACTGAAGCTAAGTCGTTCTGTGGCTAACTGAAGCTAACTCGTTCTGTGGCTAACTGAAGCTAACTCGTTCTGTGGCTAACTGAAGCTAACTTGTACTAATGTGGCTAACTGAAGCTAACTCGTTCTGTGGCTAACTGAAGCTAAGTCGTTCTAATGTGGCTTAGGCCCCGTCCCAATTCTCGCCCTTGCCCTTAAAAAGCACACTTGCCCTAGCGTTTGCGCGTGCCCGCGCGAGTGCAAGGGTGTCCCAATACTTAGGGAGACGAGGCGAGGGTCTTCACTGCCCTAAAAACCACCCTTGAGTGCAAGTGAGGTCGGGAGCTCACTTGCGAGCGAGGGTGATCCCATGATGCATTGCGAACTCGGCAAACCAGTTTTTCCAAATGAACATGGCGCCGACTCTCGGGAGCGAAAGCTACAAATGTAAGTACAATTTCACACAAACATGCACTCTAAAAGCTATGAAACGTGTCAGAATTATGTGGGTACGCAATTTGTTCTACAATGTAGAATGCCGGTGTTGGCTCGCTGTTTCGTACGTGTACGTGTGCATGGCATGGTGTGCATTGAATTCATAAACATAGGTAAGTGTTTGTCTTCACCATTAACGTTGGTTGTGTGTTTGCAAATCTGCGCAAACAGCTTGCAGTAGTAGTGGAACTGAACAATTGACCAACGCTGTTTTTCCCCCAGGGACCACGGAGAAAACCTTTGCTCTCATAAATTACAGAGCTGCGAATGAAGCCAATTTTCTGAAAACAAAATTTCAGACAAAAAGTCTGTGGCAGTAAGTGAAACTTCTATTCTTAATAATAATGCTATTGAACACAGCTAAATGCCTATACCTCACTGTATGTTCACAGGCAAGCAGTGAAAGAGCTGGGCCTGGAGGGGAAAGTGACCCACAAGCAGGTCAGTAAGAAGTGGGAGAACCTGAAGAAGCGCTACAAGGTAATTATCTGCAAATATATCTGTCTGGTTAATCCTGTAACCTCAACTCACTTTGCTGTGTGTGTGTGTAGGACCTAAGGGACCCAAAGACTGGCTCAGATAGTGGGGAGAAGACCGCTTCATACTGGCCGTATTACGCTGCGCTTCACGCAGTCTTGGGGGGAAGGCCTGCTGTGGATCCCCCTGTTGTTGTGGCGTCTTTCAGGCCAGCTGAAGACCCTACAGCTTTGCTAATGGTAAGAAACAAGGGAATATTTTTATAGGGGCGGTGTACAATAAACATTAACCCAAAGGAAAGATGCATTGAACCACTAGTCCCTGAGCAGGTTGTTGTCAAACAGTAAAATGTAAGTAATTGGAGGAATTATCAGACCAAAATTTCTATTTCATTTACCACAAGTTAAATAAAAAACACTGGCCAGCCCCATTATTCACTTATTATAAAGACATTTCTGCACTGAATTCACACAGACACGTCACACATGGAAACAGAGTTGCCTTTCCAATAGACATGTTTTTGTACTGCATGTGAATACTTTTAGTTCAGTGCAGGTGATGATCTCAGTTGGGAGTGAGTCCAGAACATTTTGGGACGCTGCACTCTCCACGTGCTGTAGACCGAGTGGCATGTGTACTTTGTGATGTGTACACACTGCTATGTCAGTGCTTGTAGCCGTGCAGTTAATAACTTTATTTGCCATGACGTGACAATAATTTGTCTCCAACAGGCCATTGTCAATCCTGACGAGACCCCCAGTGAGGATACTCAGTTGGGCTCTGCCTCCTCTGCACCATCGACCCGGTCTGCTTCTCCAGCTCCATCCTCAAACAATCCTCCCTCTTCACCAACCCCGTCCTCTTCATCCTCTCGCCATAACACCCCTACCCCCAGAAAAAGGAAGAGGACAGATAGCCAGAGGATTTTGGACTTTCTCCAAGCAGAGTCAGACAAGGAACAGAGAAGACACGAGGAGTCAGAGGAGAAGACTTTGCGCTTTTTAAGTCTCTTCGAGAGGATGGTGGAAAAGCTGTAGCCTGCTGCTGTGTGGCTGTTTGGGCAAACATGTCTGTTCATATTGTACATATGACATTTTATTAGAGTGTTTTTCAAAAAATAAATCTCAGTTAATGTGACTGTGTGTGTGTTGATGTTCACTGTTCTAGGAAGAAATACTGAAACTTAAAGTTAGGATCTTGGGAAAGGATATAAAGAAAAGGTCATCCATTGTTCGTTAAATCATTTTATTGAAAGAATTTACTTTACATTTAAGGGTCTTCATTGAACAATACAGCGAGCCTGTCCCTTATTGCAGTCCCTGCCCTTTCATATTCCTCAGCAGCTTCATGGAGAGGAAGTTCCGGGTCCAGGATGTCTGTTGCATCACTATCAGGTTCCAGGACGTCTCCGTTGTCTAGACATACATTGTGCAGAAAGGCACACGATGTCATGGTGTGGGTTTTATTTTTGTATTTTTGTTTTATTTTGACATTGTTCTCTGTGGTTTGGTTTTAGTTGTACTTCCTGTCCTGTTTGCCCCTGTCTTGATTGTCTGCCCCGCCCTGATGTGTTTCACCTGTGTCTGTGTCTATAGGTACCATGTGCTTCTCTCCCCTTGTTGCTAGTCCATTGTCTTGTCAACGTCCTGTCTTGTTCATGTCTCTGTCTGTTTCCGTCCTGTTCCTGGTCCTGTTTAAGTTTTGGATTTTGAGTTGGTTTCATCTGGACTTTTTTATCATTAAACCCTTATTTTTGGCATTTCTGCAATTTTGGGTCTTCATTAACTTCATCACGTGACAGAAAAACTTAAACAGGACCAGGAACAGGACGGAAACAGACAGAGACATGAACAAGACAGGACGTTGACAAGACAATGGACTAGCAACAAGGAGAGAAGCACATGGTACCTATAGACACAGACACAGGTGAAACACATCAGGGCGGGGGCAAACAGGGGCAAACAGGACAGGAAGTACAACTAAAACCAAACCACAGAGAACAATGTCAAAATAAAACAAAAATACAAAAATAAAACCCACACCATGACACACGATGCTATAACCTGTGGTGCAAATGTAGGCTTGACCTCCAGGGCTCTGAACAGGGTTGACCTCCAGCGAGTCTTCATAATCCCAAATGCTCTCTCCACACTAGAACGGGCTCTTGACAGATGGTAGTTGAATTTCCTTTGGGCCCGGCCGTTCACTGGCTCTCGGTATGGAGTAATAAGGGCGATTGGTCCCTCCAAACAAGGATACCCACCATCTCCCAGAATGAAGTACCCCGTAGGTGGGTACCTTCTTGCAAGGTAAAACGAGCTGTTCTTCAGAATGCGCGTGTCATGCACAGAACCTGGATAGCCCACAAAAATGTCTAGGAATTTTCCTGTGTGATCACAAATAGCTTGCATTTGTATTGAGTAGAAACCCTTGTAATTTAGATAGTCCAGACGATGGAGTGATGGGGGCTTTATGCGAACATGACAACCATCAATGGCTCCAACAGCTTTGTTTAGTAGAGGTGTTCCAGCAAGCTCGGCAAAGCCGTTACTCACTGCATCAATGTCAGCCATCTTTGGAAAACTGATTGCTCGGTGTAGATTGTTCCAAATGAACTGTGCTACCCTATGGACAACCCTGTGGACAGTAGACCTAGGAATACTGAACACTCTGGACACAACACGGTAGGATAGTCCATGGGCAAGCCAGTATACATATATGAGGACCTCATATTCATTGCCCCAACCATGATCTTGCGCTCTCCTCATTACACGTTGCAGCGAATGCATGGCCTGCCTGGACAGTCTGAAGTCAGGTTTTGTGTCCAATTCGACGTCCAACCACAAGCGTAGAATAGGCACAACCACATTGACTTTACAGTACGTTGCTGGACGGTCACTCTGAAAAACAAAGAGCCAAAAAATATATAGCATGAGTGATGGCCTAAGAGCACAAATTCCCCTCATGAAAGCAGTGATGTGACATTAACAATACAAACTATACATGCAAAGGCATTACAGTACTTCATATAATATTTTCCGCAATATAAATAGTTCTCAATATACTACTGTGACTCAAGATTTCAGCGAAAGGAAAGTAGAACCAGTGTAGCCAATGCTGCACCGCTTTGTTTTTGCGTTTGTGATACACGTGTTTAGTACATACTTAAAACAGCGATGAATACTTCATGGTTAGACGTTTGGACATATGGATGTAACTTTTGATCTTTGTATCGTTTGTATGTCGTCTTGTTTTAGACACAGTTTTGGTACGATAGTTAGTAATGTTGCAGCCATAGACTGTATATATATGCAGTCGGGCAAAGCCGCGCCATTATGAAAGAAAACAACATACCTGAAACATCCGGGCAAGCGCAACCATACGTCGAAGTCTCATCCTACGTCTGTTGCTTCTCCGTGTACTTTGCGAACGGAGAAAAAGCATCATAGCCCACAAAACAGGCAGAAGCTCCGCTGGACCCGGCATTTTCAAAAGTAACAACAACAGCAGTACTTCTCCGGTCTTACCTCCCCTATGAAGAAATATGTATTACCGCCACCTATTGGACTGGGGTGAAATCCGAAAAACGGACATTGCGTGTGACGTAGTGGACGCTCATTTGCATACAAGGGTGTCCCAATACTTAGGGAGAGTTGAGTGCACCCTCCACTTGCACTCGCACTTGCACTCACACTTGCACTCGCACTTAAGGGCAAGGGGGAGAATTGGGACGGGGCCTTACTGAAGCTAACTCGTTCTGTGGCTAACTGAAGCTAACTCGTTCTGTGGCTAACTGAAGCTAACTCGTTCTGTGGCTAACTGAAGCTAAGTCGTTCTGTGGCTAACTGAAGCTAAGTCGTTCTAATGTGGCTAACTGAAGCTAAGTCGTTCTAATGTGGCTAACTGAAGCTAAGTCGTTCTAATGTGGCTAACTGAAGCTAAGTCGTTCTAATGTGGCTAACTGAAGCTAACTCGTTCTAATGTGGCTAACTGAAGCTAACTCGTACTAATGTGGCTAACTGAAGCTAACTCGTACTAATGTGGCTAACTGAAGCTAAGTCGTTCTAATGTGGCTAACTGAAGCTAAGTCGTTCTGTGGCTAACTGAAGCTAAGTCGTTCTAATGTGGCTAACTGAAGCTAAGTCGTTCTAATGTGGCTAACTGAAGCTAAGTCGTTCTGTGGCTAACTGAAGCTAAGTCGTTCTAATGTGGCTAACTGAAGCTAATTATTGCTAATGTGGGTTTGTGTAAGCTCTCAGTCGTACAGGGATTAGTCAAAGCAAAGGAAGGTTTCTCATCCATCATCTGTCTTTCTAAACAGGTTTTGCAGATGTTTTGTCCTTCATCAAAAGAACTTTTTCAATGGAATGAAATCTCAGACCGTGCGTTGAAGAGGAGTGCACTGACCACTATATTGGAGAAACCAAACAAACTCTACAGAAACGACTTTACCAACATCGTAGAGAAAACTCTAGTGGGCCACTGTCGGCTGTTCATCTCCACCTCAAGGCCTCCAACCACACGGTGGATGACACAGAGGGTAAAATTCTGGCTCTGGAGAAGAATTGGTTTGAGAGAGGAGTGAAAGAAGCCATTTTTGTGAGGAAACAGAAACCTTCTCTTAACAGAGGAGGAGGGTTAAGATTTGTTTTGCCTCGCATCTATGACGACATCCTAAAAACAACGCCCTAACTATAGATAAGGTCTGTGACATGCTAATGAGTTAGGGTCGTTAGCCTCAGCAGGGTCGTTAGACCTGCTCCCTACCATGTCTTAGCACACTTTAGATGAGTTTATGAGTTAGCCTCAGGATTGGGGTGTGGCTAACCACACCCATAGGTTATACATCTCTAACGCACGGTCTGAGAATTCTTTAGATGAAGGACGAAACGTCGGGAAAACCTGCTAAGTACAGATGATGGGTGAGAAACCTTCCTTTGCTATTGCTAATGTGGTTAACTGTAGCTAACTCTTGCTGATGTGGCTAAACTAAGCTAGCTCTTACTAATGTGGCTAACAGAAGGTAACTTGCTGTACACGCACATTTTTTTTAAGTTCCTTTCACCAAATATAAATATACATACGAAATAAAGCTTATGATGCTATTGCGTGAGGTTGATAATGAGTTACAGGAAGAAGCAACACATTACAGTCATTACATAACTGTTGGATACACACTCGTACGCCTCTGTTTCGACACCTGACAATGGAAGCGTCTGCAGAAGTCTCCGACCTGTGGCTGGAACAGTCAGACCGGCTCCAAACTCAGTCCACTCAGAGAATCCAGCACAATCAGTCTGAGAGCATTATGCATTTAGCAGCGGCGGTGATTTATGGGCTTTGAATACAGGCTGCTATTGTAACACTTCCTTCTCCTCCCATTTTCACAGCGGTGCCAAAAGAACAAGCAGGTGTCGGAGCGCACACTCGCCCTCCAGGGCATCATTATCTCTGAGTTTACCTCCGCCTGGGCCTGTAGCCGTCCTCACTGCCTGCTTTACTTTATTAAAGTGAACGCTGAAAAAGACGGCTTTTCCACACACACAAAACACATGCAATGAGGTGGAATGGATTTAAACACATGCATTAACTTGTGGATGACGGTTAGACAAGAAATCACTAAAACACTATTAGAGTTCGCTGAAGAAATGCAGGGAATTGTACTTCTATAGTTTGACATGATGAGAGAAACAGGTGGTTATCATCTCAATCTTAAAATCGAAAGGACTCAATAATTACAGATTGACAAGAGCAATTGTGAGACCATCCATCCATCCATCCATTTTCTACCCTTTAATCCATTTCTGGGTCAGGGGGGTGGCAGTCAGAGATGCCACCCAAGTCTCATAGCACCAGCCCCTCACTGACCCTCTGCAGGTGGTGAGTCCACAGGAGGACGGCTGCTCTGAGTGTGAGCATAGCCTTGATCTTTCAGTGGGGGCTTTGGGCAAAGTGGGGTTAAGTGTCTTGCCCAAGGACACAACGACAGCAGTCATCAGTGAGAGTTGGTGGAGAAGGTGCAGAGGTGGGAATTGAACCCACGACCTTCTGGCCTTAAGGCCAATGCTCTACCAACTGAGCTACTGTCGCCCCCAATTGTGAGACCATACGTTTAAATTATAAAAATGTTGCGGACCAAGGTTTCATCTTTCAGGACTACAATATCTTTAGCAACTTTTGTCTTGACCAGAGAGAAACCAGAGAGAAACCAGAGAAAGACAGATACTATAGTAGAGAGAGACCAGAGAGAGACCCTAGAGTAACCAGAAAGAGAAAGAGACCATTGAGAAAGAAGAGAGAGAGACCAGAGAGAGATCAGACAGTGAGACCTCCTGAGAGAGAGACCAGAGAAAGACCAGAGAGAAAAATCAGAGGGAGAGACCAGTGAGAGACCAGAGAGAGACCAGAGAGAGACCAGAGAGAGAGAGACCAGAGAGAGACCAGAGAGAGAGCAGAGAGAGACCAGAGCGAGACCAGAGAGAGACCAGAGAGAAAAATCAGAGGGAGAGACCAGGGAGAGACCAGAGAGAGAAATGTGGGGGCTCTGACCAATCCGAGCCTTACAGTCCGTGTGGATTTAGGCTGCAGTACCGCCGGTGTATGGAATTGGGAATGTTTCACAAAAAGTCAAATCAAAAGCAATTACAGCGATACCATAGAGAGAGACCAGAGAGAAGGACCAGAGAGAGGAACCAAAGAGACGGACCAGATAGAGACCAGAGAGAGACCAGAGAGAGAGAGACCAGAGAGAGACCAGAGAGAGAGCAGAGAGAGACCAGAGAGAGACCAGAGAGAGACCAGAGAGAGAGAGACCAGAGAGAGACAGAGACTAGAGAAAAACCAGAGAAACCGGAGAGAGAATATAGTGAGACCTGAGAGAGGGACCAGAGAGAGACCAACTAGTGATACCTGAGAGAGAGAGAGAGACCAGAGAAAGATCAGAAGTTGAGACCAGAGAGACATGTGAGGGCTCTGACCAATCCGAGCCTTACGGTCCGTGTGGATTTAGACTGCAGTACCGCTGGTGGCCTCTAGTCCACATGGAGACAGATGTAAACACTCCCCATATAACTGCTTCCACACCACCTCAAACCCAATCCCCAACGATTGGACAACGATGATGTAATAGACCCGACTTCAAAACACAGACTGTCGAACGCTCCATCTACAAAACTCTTTATTATCTGCATTTTTGGCTTCAACTTCAAGGACAACTTTTGCACCGACCGCCAAGTGCATCCCACCAGAGAATCTGCTGCAGCTTCACCTGTCAGTGGTCGTAATGTTCCGGCTCACTGTGGGAATGCAGACTCTGGCAGACTTCCAGCCCGTGGCCAGTTCCAGGGGGAGGGGCCAGATCCTGCAGATTTGCCGTTGTGTTTCGTGCATGTTCTTGGCTGCTGTGGCGCTGGTTTTGCTCGAGCTCGGTCCGTCTGTCTCTCTCGCTGCCAGCTCCCAGAACACAAGCACCCTTTATACTGCTGCCAATCACAACCAGATGTGCCCAGACTTCTGGTTTCAAATCGCTCCGTCCTGCTCTGCGGCCGAGGCGAGAGGAGGCACAAAACAAACCCGAATCTGGGAGTCGGAAATGGCAGGCACGCATACGTACGCAGAGAGAAAGAGAGACCAGAGAGAGAGACAAGAGAGAGACGAGAGAGAGAGAGAGAAACCAGAAAGAGAGAGAGAAACCAGAGAGAGACTTTTGGGACAGAGACCGTAGAAAGATCTGAGAGACCAGAGAGAGAGACTATAGAGAGAAAGAGAGACCAGAGAAAGGGACTAGAAACCAGAGAGACCAGAGAAAAAGAGAGAAACCAGAGAGAGACTTAGGGACAGAGACTGTAGACAGAGACCAGAGAGAGAGACTAAAGAGAAAGAGAAAACAGAGAGAGGGACTAGAAACCAGAGAGAGACTAGACAGAGACCAGAAAGAGAGACCTGAGATAGAGAGAGAGTAGAGAGAGAACAGAAAAAAACAAATGAGAGAGAGAGACCAAGGAGACAGAGACCAGAAAGAGAGACCTGAGATGGAGAGAGACCAGACAGGAGACCGGAAACGCCACAGAGAGTCAGGTGGAAGACCAGAAAGAGAGACTAGAGAGTGAGAGATTGCAGAAAGACCTGCAAGACAAGAGAGAGAGAGAGACCAGAAAGAGAGACCTGAGATCGAGAAAGAACTAGCGAGAGAACAGAAACAGACATGAGGGAGAGACCAAGGAGACAGAGACCATTGAGAGAGACTAGAGAGAGACCAGAAAGAGAGACCAGAGAGTGAGAGAGAGACCAGAGAGAGAGAGATGTGAGCGTTCTAACAAATCAGAACGTGTGCTTCTCACTGCGGCCGAGGCGAGAGGAGGCACAAAACAAACCAAATGTGATGGTCATAAATTCCAGCTCACATACGTACGCAGAGCAGGACGCCAGACGGGGAACTACGACTGTAATCACGCGGAAAACTGTAAAACAGGAGAGGAAGTGCTGTGTGTTGTGTCCTGGACTGGAAAATATGAGTAAAAGTCTGAAACTATTCTAATCTGGCTGCAAAACCAAACTCCAGTTCTCACATGTCTGTTGTTATTGATCACTCCCAGATGCAGGTTGTAGAGGAGGTAAGATTAACTGGGTTTAAGTCTGTCTAAAGACTTGAAACGGGACAAAAACACTAATCAGCTCGGCAGAATCTCTTCTTTCGATCTTATACAGAGGCCTCCAGACCGAGCTGGTTTTAAACTGGACTTGGACCGAGCTGGTTTTAAACTGGACTTGGAGCGCCTCGACAAGAACACGTTGATTATATCCACTTGTCTGTATTGAATAAATACATAAACTATACATACATAAACACATAAAGTGTGGTTGCAGGTTTTCATTAGAACCAAGTAGTCTCTCTCTCTTTGGTCTGTCTCTCTCTATTCCCTCTCTCCAGTCCCTCTTCCTGGTCTCTCTCTAGTCTCTCTCTCTGGTCTCTCCATCTAGTTTCTCTATTTGGTATCTCTCTCTGGTCCCTATCGCTCTGGTCTCTCCCTGGTCTCTCTCTGGACCTATCGCTCTGGTCTCTCCCTGGTCTCTCTCTGGACCTATCGCTCTGGTCTCTCCCTGGTCTCTCTCTGGACCTATCGCTCTGGTCTCTCCCTGGTCTCTCTCTGGACCTATCGCTCTGGTCTCTCTATGGTGTCTCTAGTCTCTCTGATTTCTTTCTCTCCTGTCTCTCTCTCTGGTCTCTGTCTCTAGTCTCTCTCTCTAGATATATAGATAGATCTAGTCTCTCTCATTGTCTCTCTCTGGTCCCTATTGTTCTGGTCTCTCTAGCCTATCTCTGGTTTCTTTCCCTCTAGTCTCTCTATTTGGTCTCTCTTTCTCTGGACCCTTTTGCTCTGGTCTCTCTTTGGTCTCTCTAGTCTCTCTCTGGTCTCTCTCTGGTCTCTCTAGTCTCTCTCTCTCCCTCTTCCTGGTCTCTCGCGCTGGTCTTCCTAGTCTCTCTCGCTGGTCTCTCCTTCTGGTCTCTCCCTCACTCTCTGGTAGCTATAAGATACTATAACATATGGTGACAGACAGACCGAGACAAAGCCAGACCAGAGTGATCCCAGAGGCCCCAGCAGATCTCTCAGTCTGAAATGTCGTCCACAAACGTGTTTTATTGCAGCGGACGGCGGTGATGTCTCGCTCGCCCGTCCCCCTCAGGACCAGAGTCTGACCAGATCCAAACTGACACCAGCAAAACATCTGCTGCAGACGGACCAGGAACGCCTGCTCCACTGACACACAATCCAATCAACTCACTGTCTCTCTCCCTCACCTCCAATAACGCCTCACATGTGAAGGAAGGAGAGTCTGAGGGACGCAGCAGGAGATAGGACCAGAGAGAGACCAGAGAGAGACCAGAGAGAGACCAGAGAGAGAGACCACAGAGAGAGAGACCAGAGAGAGAGACCAGAGAGAGACCAGAGAGAGAGACCAGAGAGGGACCAGAGAGAGACCAGGAAGAGAGACCAGAGAGAGACCAGAGAGAGAGACCAGAGAGGGACCAGAGAGAGACCAGGGAGAGACCAGAGAGAGACCAGAGAGGGACCAGAGAGAGAGACCAGAGAGAGACCAGAGAGAGACCAGGGAGAGACCAGAGAGAGACCAGAGAGGGACCAGAGAGAGAGACCAGAGAGGGACCAGAGAGAGACCAGGGAGAGACCAGAGAGAGACCAGAGAGGGACCAGAGAGAGAGACCAGAGAGAGACCAGAGAGAGACCAGAGAGAGACCAGAGAGAGAGACCAGAGAGAGAGACCAGAGAGAGACCAGAGAGAGAGACCAGAGAGAGACCAGAGAGAGACCAGAGAGGGACCAGAGAGAGACCAGAGAGAGACCAGAGAGAGACCAGGGAGAGACCAGAGAGACCAGAGAGAGACCAGAGAGAGAGACCAGAGAGAGACCAGGGAGAGACCAGAGAGACCAGAGAGAGAGCAGATATTGAGACCAGAGAGAGAGCAAAATAGACCAGAGAGGAAGAGAACAAAGAGAGACTAGAGAGAGAGAGAGGGATCAGAAAGACTAGGGAGAGACAAAAGAGAGAGAGAGAGAGACTAGGGATAGAGAAAGCCCAGAGAGAGAGAGACCAGAGAGAGAGGGACCAGAGAAAGAGGGACCAGAGAAAGAGGGACCAGAGAGACAGAGGGGCCAAAGAGAGAGAGAGGGGCCAAAGAGAGAGAGGGACCAGAGAGAGAGAGCATCCACCATAATAAAGAGCTGTGGAAAGTCTGTTCTGAATGTTTTATTGTCTTTTAACTGCTGTAATTGGGTGTTATTTACAGTACAGGGGCTTGATCGATGTTGCCGCGGTTACAGCTGAATGTTCTCCTCTTAAACAATGATAAATGGGAAACATCCGCGTACGCAAACGCCACAGACGGGAACAGGAAGTGTGGCGATGTCTGTAGATGTGCAGCGTTTAGGCCTGTGCTTCAGAATCCCATTTGGAGTTTAATGCAGACATGAATTATTGATTTACACTTTATTGCTTCAGCAGTAACAAAATGCACTAGTGTTTTTACTGTGGGCTGATGTCAGACTGGTCCTGGATCAGACTGGTCCTGGATCAGACTGGTCCTGGACTCAGACTGGTCCTGGATCAGACTGGTCCTGGATCAGAAAAGTCTTGTAACAGAAAAGTCCTGTAGCAGAAATGTCCTGGATCAGCCAGGTCCCGGTTCAGACTGGTCGTGGATCAGACTTCCTGGATCAGACACGTCTTGCATCAGACAAGTCCTGGACTCAGACTGGTCCTGGGTCAGACAAGTAGTCCTGGGTCAGACTGGTCCTGGACTCAGACTGGTCCTGGACTCAGACTGGTCCTGGACTCAAACTTGTCCTGGATTAGACTTCCTGGATCAGACTTCCTGGATCAGACTGGTCCTGGACTCAGAGTGGTCCTGTATCAGAAAAGTCCTGGATCAGACTGGTCCTGACTCAGACTGGTCCTGGACTCAGACTGGTCCTGGATCAGACTGGTCCTGTCTTTCATATGAGCTGGAACAAGTTTAATTTTACTTTTGACGATCTTTAAAAGTTGCTTTAAAACTCTCCACCTTTTCTTCCATTCCAAACGATCTATTACTTTTATAGAAACCTTTTCCTGGACTCAGTGTGTGCCCATGGTAACCATAAATGTTGATTGAATCTTGGTGTGTGCGTGTCTTTGGTGTTTCTCTCGCTGGTCTCTCTCTCTCTCTCTCTGTCATTTCTCTCGCCCCCTCTCTGTCTGATCTCTCTCTCTCTCTGGTCTTTCTGTCTATTATTGCTCGCTCTGGTCTCTCTATCTAGTCTCTCTCTCTCTGGTCTCTCTGTCTTGTCTCTCTCTCTCTGGTCTCTCTATCTAGTCTCTCTCTCTCTGGTCTCTCTATCTAGTCTCTCTCTCTCTGGTCTCTCAGTCTTGTCTCTCTCTCTCTGGTCTCTCTGTCTAGTCTCTCTCTCTCTCTGTCTTGTCTCTCTCTCTCTCTGGTCTCTCTGTCTTGTCTCTCTCTCTCTCTGGTCTCTCTGTCTTGTCTCTCGCTCTGGTCTCTCTGTCTTGTCTCTCGCTCTGGTCTCTCTGTCTTGTCTCTCGCTCTGGTCTCTCTGTCTTGTCTCTCTCTCTGGTCTCTCTGTCTTGTCTCTCTCTCTCTCTCTGGTCTCTCTGTCTTGTCTCTCGCTCTGGTCTCTCTGTCTTGTCTCTCTCTCTCTCTGGTCTCTCTGTCTTGTCTCTCTCTCTGGTCTCTCTGTCTTGTCTCTCGCTCTGGTCTCTCTGTCTTGTCCCTCTCTCTCTGGTCTCTGTGTCTTGTCTCTCGCTCTGGTCTCTCTCTCTCTGGTCTAGTCTATCTCTGATCTCTCTGTCTTGTCCCTCTCTCTCTGGTCTCTCTGTCTTGTCTCTCTCTCTCTGGTCTCTCTGTCTTGTCTCTCTCTCTCTGGTCTCTCTGTCTTGTCTCTCTCTCTCTGGTCTCTCTGTCTTGTCTCTCTCTCTCTGGTCTCTCTGTCTAGTCTCTCTCTCTCTGGTCTCTCTGTCTTGTCTCTCTCTCTCTGGTCTCTCTATCTAGTCTCTCTCTCTCTGGTCTCTCTATCTAGTCTCTCTCTCTCTGGTCTCTCAGTCTTGTCTCTCTCTCTCTGGTCTCTCTATCTAGTCTCTCTCTCTCTGGTCTCTCTATCTAGTCTCTCTCTCTCTGGTCTCTCAGTCTTGTCTCTCTCTCTCTGGTCTCTCTGTCTAGTCTCTCTCTCTCTCTGTCTTGTCTCTCTCTCTCTGGTCTCTCTGTCTTGTCTCTCTCTCGCTCTGGTCTCTCTGTCTTGTCTCTCTCTCTCTCTGGTCTCTCTGTCTTGTCTCTCTCTCTCTCTGGTCTCTCTGTCTTGTCTCTCGCTCTGGTCTCTCTGTCTTGTCTCTCGCTCTGGTCTCTCTGTCTTGTCTCTCGCTCTGGTCTCTCTGTCTTGTCTCTCTCTCTGGTCTCTCTGTCTTGTCTCTCTCTCTCTCTCTGGTCTCTCTGTCTTGTCTCTCGCTCTGGTCTCTCTGTCTTGTCTCTCTCTCTCTCTGGTCTCTCTGTCTTGTCTCTCTCTCTGGTCTCTCTGTCTTGTCTCTCGCTCTGGTCTCTCTGTCTTGTCCCTCTCTCTCTGGTCTCTGTGTCTTGTCTCTCGCTCTGGTCTCTCTCTCTCTGGTCTAGTCTATCTCTGATCTCTCTGTCTTGTCCCTCTCTCTCTGGTCTCTCTGTCTTGTCTCTCTCTCTCTGGTCTCTCTGTCTTGTCCCTCTCTCTCTGGTCTCTCTGTCTTGTCTCTCTCTCTCTGGTCTCTCTGTCTAGTCCCTCTCTCTCTGGTCTCTCTGTCTTGTCTCTCTCTCTCTGGTCTCTCTGTCTAGTCTCTCTCTCTCTGGTCTCTCTCTCTCTGGTCTCTCTGTCTTGTCTCTCGCTCTGGTCTCTCTGTCTAGTCTCTCTCGTCTGGTCTCTCTCTCTCTGGTCTCTCTGTCTTGTCTCTCTCTCTCTGGTCTCTCTGTCTTGTCTCTCTCTCTCTGGTCTCTCTGTCTTGTCTCTCTCTCTCTGGTCTCTCTGTCTTGTCCCTCTCTCTCTGGTCTCTCTGTCTTGTCTCTCTCTCTCTGGTCTCTCTGTCTAGTCTCTCTCTCTCTGGTCTCTCTGTCTAGTCTCTCTCTCTCTGGTCTCTCTGTCTTGTCTCTCTCTCTCTGGTCTCTCTGTCTTGTCTCTCTCGCTCTGGTCTCTCTGTCTTGTCTCTCTCTCTCTCTGGTCTCTCTGTCTTGTCTCTCTCTCTCTCTCTGGTCTCTCTGTCTTGTCTCTCTCTCTCTCTGGTCTCTCTGTCTTGTCTCTCGCTCTGGTCTCTCTGTCTTGTCTCTCTCTCTCTCTCTGGTCTCTCTGTCTTGTCTCTCTCTCTCTCTGGTCTCTCTGTCTTGTCTCTCGCTCTGGTCTCTCTGTCTTGTCTCTCTCTCTCTCTGGTCTCTCTGTCTTGTCTCTCTCTCTGGTCTCTCTGTCTTGTCTCTCGCTCTGGTCTCTGTGTCTTGTCTCTCGCTCTGGTCTCTCTCTCTCTGGTCTAGTCTATCTCTGGTCTCTCTGTCTTGTCTCTCTCTCGCTCTGGTCTCTCTGTCTTGTCTCTCTCTCTCTCTCTGGTCTCTCTGTCTTGTCTCTCTCTCTCTCTGGTCTCTCTGTCTTGTCTCTCGCTCTGGTCTCTCTGTCTTGTCCCTCTCTCTCTGGTCTCTGTGTCTTGTCTCTCGCTCTGGTCTCTCTATCTCTGGTCTCTCTGTCTTGTCCCTCTCTCTCTGGTCTCTCTGTCTTGTCCCTCTCTCTCTGGTCTCTCTGTCTTGTCCCTCTCTCTCTGGTCTCTCTGTCTAGTCTCTCTCTCTCTGGTCTCTCTGTCTTGTCTCTCTCTCTGGTCTCTCTGTCTTGTCTCTCGCTCTGGTCTCTGTGTCTTGTCTCTCGCTCTGGTCTCTCTCTCTCTGGTCTAGTCTATCTCTGGTCTCTCTGTCTTGTCTCTCTCTCGCTCTGGTCTCTCTGTCTTGTCTCTCTCTCTCTCTCTGGTCTCTCTGTCTTGTCTCTCTCTCTCTCTGGTCTCTCTGTCTTGTCTCTCGCTCTGGTCTCTCTGTCTTGTCTCTCTCTCTCTCTGGTCTCTCTGTCTTGTCTCTCTCTCTGGTCTCTCTGTCTTGTCTCTCGCTCTGGTCTCTCTGTCTTGTCCCTCTCTCTCTGGTCTCTGTGTCTTGTCTCTCGCTCTGGTCTCTCTCTCTCTGGTCTAGTCTATCTCTGGTCTCTCTGTCTTGTCCCTCTCTCTCTGGTCTCTCTGTCTTGTCCCTCTCTCTCTGGTATCTCTGTCTTGTCCCTCTCTCTCTGGTCTCTCTGTCTAGTCTCTCTCTCTCTGGTCTCTCTGTCTTGTCCCTCTCTCTCTGGTATCTCTGTCTTGTCCCTCTCTCTCTGGTCTCTCTGTCTTGTCTCTCTCTCTCTGGTCTCTCTGTCTAGTCTCTCTCTCTCTGGTCTCTCTGTCTTGTCTCTCTCTCTCTGGTCTCTCTGTCTAGTCTCTCTCTCTCTGGTCTCTCTGTCTTGTCCTCTCTCTCTCTGGTCTCTCTGTCTAGTCTCTCTCTCTCTGGTCTTCTGTCTCTCTCTTCTCTGGTCTCTCTGTCTAGTCTCTCTCTCTCTGGTCTCTCTGTCTTGTCTCTCTCTCTCTGGTCTCTCTGTCTAGTCTCTCTCTGGTCTCTCTGTCTAGTCTCTCTCTCTCTAGTCTCTCTGTCTTGTCTCTCTCTCTCTGGTCTCTCTGTCTAGTATTGCTCGCTCTGGTCTCTTCCAGCCTCTATCTGGCCTCTCTCTAGTCTTTCACTTCAGTCTCTCTGATCTTTGGTCTCTCTCTCTCTGGTCTCTCTGTCTTGTCCCTCTCTCTCTGGTCTCTCTGTCTTGTCCCTCTCTCTCTGGTCTCTCTGTCTTGTCCCTCTCTCTCTGGTCTCTCTGTCTAGTCTCTCTCTCTCTGGTCTCTCTGTCTAGTCTCTCTCTCTCTGGTCTCTCTGTCTTGTCTCTCTCTCTCTGGTCTCTCTGTCTAGTCTCTCTCTCTCTGGTCTCTCTGTCTTGTCTCTCTCTCTCTGGTCTCTCTGTCTAGTCTCTCTCTCTTCTGGTCTCTCTGTCTTGTCTCTCTCTCTCTGGTCTCTCTGTCTAGTCTCTCTCTCTCTCTGGTCTCTCTGTCTTGTCCCTCTCTCTCTGGTCTCTCTGTCTAGTCTCTCTCTCTCTGGTCTCTCTGTCTTGTCTCTCTCTCTCTGGTCTCTCTGTCTAGTCTCTCTCTCTCTGGTCTCTCTGTCTTGTCTCTCTCTCTCTGGTCTCTCTGTCTAGTCTCTCTCTCTCTGGTCTCTCTGTCTTGTCTCTCTCTCTCTGGTCTCTCTGTCTAGTCTCTCTCTCTCTAGTCTCTCTGTCTTGTCTCTCTCTCTCTGGTCTCTCTGTCTAGTATTGCTCGCTCTGGTCTCTTCCAGCCTCTATCTGGCCTCTCTCTAGTCTTTCACTTCAGTCTCTCTGATCTTTGGTCTCTCTCTCTCTGGTCTCTCTGTCTTGTCCCTCTCTCTCTGGTCTCTCTGTCTAGTCTCTCTCTCTCTGGTCTCTCTGTCTAGTCTCTCTCTCTCTGGTCTCTCTGTCTTGTCTCTCTCTCTCTGGTCTCTCTGTCTTGTCCCTCTCTCTCTGGTCTCTCTGTCTTGTCTCTCTCTCTCTGGTCTCTCTGTCTAGTCTCTCTCTCTCTGGTCTCTCTGTCTTGTCTCTCTCTCTCTGGTCTCTCTCTGTCTAGTCTCTCTCTCTCTGGTCTCTCTGTCTAGTCTCTCTCTCTCTGGTCTCTCTGTCTAGTCTCTCTCTCTCTGGTCTCTCTGTCTTGTCTCTCTCTCTCTGGTCTCTCTGTCTAGTCTCTCTCTCTCTGGTCTCTCTGTCTAGTCTCTCTCTCTCTAGTCTATCTGTCTTGTCTCTCTCTCTCTGGTCTCTCTGTCTAGTATTGCTCGCTCTGGTCTCTTCCAGCCTCTATCTGGCCTTTCTCTAGTCTTTCACTTCAGTCTCTCTGATCTTTGGTCTCTCTCTCTCTGGCCTCTCTCCTGGGTCTCTCTCTTTCCCTGATCACTCATGACAGATACATTTACAATGCCGCTTCAGTCTTTTCACAAAACAGTTTCAAACACGTTATGGTCTGGTCTTGGTCTGGTCTTGGTCTTGGTCTCGTTGCTCCAGAACATGGGACGTGCTCGTACTTCTGCCTGAACTCTGACGCGTTGATAACAATCTGTGCGTCTGATCTAATTACTTTTTATGCAGCTCTTTCCCCAAACCCCACATTAAACCTGAGTGTTGTGCGTTTGCCTGTGTACTGTATGTTGTGTGTTTGTGTGTGTGTGTGTTGTGTGTTCGTGGAGGCCTCCCTGTCGGCTCGGGCTCCTGCTGATCCTGCTGTGATTCTCTGCTGTGGCTGCTGTTCAAATGGACGTGTCTCAGATCGATATCTCCGACTTTCAAGCAGCTCGATTTTCCACCGCAGCAGGAGCAGATGGAGCCGGCAGATAACTGAGCACAGGGATTCTCAAGCAGAGGTGCAGGGACTGGTCCTGGTGTGTGCCTTCTCAAGGACGTCTGAGCATTCTGGAATGTACTGTTAACTCACATGGTTAAGCACACATGGTGGATATGGTGGGGTTTACAGAGAGAGAGAGAGAGCAGAGTAGAGAGAGATCAGAGAGAGAGAGAGCGAGTTAGAGAGAGATCAGAGAGAAAGAGCAGAGAGAGAGAGTAAAGTAGAGAAAGAGCAGAGCAGAGAGAGAGAGAGTAGAGTAGAGAGAGATCAGAGAGAAAGAGGAGAGCAGAGAGAGAGAGCAGTGAGAGAGATCAGAGAGAAAAAGCAGAGAGAGAGAGCAGAGTAGAGACAGAGAGATCAGAGAGAAAGAGCAGAGCAGAGAGAGACCAAAGAGAGAGTGGAGAGAGTGAGAGGGACCAGAGAGAGTAGATGAAGAAAGAGTAGAGAGAGAGAGACCCCAGAGAGACCAGAAAGAGAGAGAGACCAGAAAGATACCAAAGAGAGAGAGGGAAAGATCAGAGCGTAGAAGGAGAGAGAGAGTAGAGGGAGCGAGATTATAGATTAGATAGTAGATAGAGACCAGAGAGAGAGCAAGAGACCAGCAAGAGACCAGCCAGAGACAAGAGGGGGAGCAAGAGAGAGTATGAGGAGAGAGAGTATAGAGAGAGTAGATTGAGACCAGAAAGAAAGAGAGAGAGAGAGACCTCCTCCTTCTTCCGTGCCTGCAGAGTAATCCCTCTAATCACATCTCCATAATGAATAGTTAATTGCAGATAATTTCTGTCTGTAAACACAAGACGCGCCCCCTGTGTGGTGCGTTCACTGAGGTCTCTGCTCTCTCTCTGTTCTTTCTTTGCTCTCTCTCTCTGGTCTCTCTCTCTGTTCTCTCTCTGGTCTCTCTCTCTGTTGTCTCTCTGGTCTCTCTCTCTGTTGTCTCTCTGGTCTGAAAAAGTATCTGAAAATTGTGCTAATTTCAAAGATTTCCTCAAAACTTTGCAATATTATTATCTAGTCCAGACCATTGCCTGTAAACAGATGTACAATGCTAACCCGCTAGCTCACAACAGCACCCCAACAGGGAAGTGCTCATGGGGAAGTTTGGCTCCTCTCTCTGGCTCTCAGTACCCGTATATGTGGCATCTCCTGGTGTTCATACTGTGATATGAACACCAGCAGCACTCGTCTCCTATTCCTGGAATCCGTGTGAGTTTATTTATTACCCAAAGATTTGAATCATACTTCAGTTCTGCTCAGTTGAACACGAAGGAGGTCTCTCTCGCTCCGTCTCTGATCCTGATCCTGCACCGAGGTCTTCTCCACATGAGGCACTTTACATCACAGACAGAGCAGTTCCACATGGTTCTGCTCTAATGTAACATGTTTTATACTTCCACGCTCTTACCGTCAGACGAAGGAGGTTATTTTGAGGTTGTTTCTTGCATCTTTGGACACTTACTCTCTCTCTGGTCTCTCTCGCTCTCACATTTACTCTCTGGTTTTTGTCTCCTGTAGCTTCACCCGAGTCTCTCTCTGGGGTTTCTACAGTCGCTCTATTGTCTCTGCCTGGTCTCTCTCTGTTCTCTCTCTAGTTTCTCCCTGGTCTCTCTCTGTTCTCTCTCCGTTCTCTCTCTAGTTTCTCCCTGGTCTCTCTCTGTTCTCTCTCCGTTCTCTCTCTAGTTTCTCCCTGGTCTCTCTCTGTTCTCTTTAGTTAGTAAATAGTCTGATCAATACAGAGAGCCACAATCCTATACATTATTTGTGACAGCAGCAGAATTTTTACCAATTTATCAGAAGAAAATGTTCTCCTTTCTGCCACAAGTAAACTTTACTTTAAAACATAGCAACAGTGGAATTGTGCAAAGGAAAGTAATTCAACCATCTTTTACATAATTTCCTACTAAAAATTATCTGCAGATCCACACAATATACTCACTCCCTGGTCTCTCTCTGGGCCTCTCTCTGTTCTCTTTAGTTTCTCTCTGGTCTCTCTCTGGGCCTCTCTAGTTTCTCCCTGGTCTCTCTCTGGTCTCTCTCTGTTCTCTTTAGTTTCTCTCTGGTCTCTCTCTGGGCCTCTCTAGTCTCTCTCTGGTCCCTCTCTCTCTGGTCCCTCTCTCTCTCTCTCTGGTCCCTCTCTCTCTCTCTGGTCCCTCTCTCTCTCTGGTCCCTCTCTCTCTCTGGTCCCTCTCTCTCTCTGGTCCCTCTCTCTCTGGTCCCTCTCTCTCTGGTCCCTCTCTCTCTCTCTGGTCCCTATCTCTCTGGTCCCTCTCTCTCTGGTCTCTCTCTCTCTGGTCCCTCTCTCTCTCTCTGGTCCCTATCTCTCTGGTCCCTCTCTCTCTGGTCCCTCTCTCTCTGGTCCCTATCTCTCTCTCTGGTCCCTCTCTCTCTGGTCCCTCTCTCTCTCTCTGGTCCCTATCTCTCTGGTCCCTCTCTCTCTGGTCTCTCTCTCTCTGGTCCCTCTCTCTCTCTCTGGTCCCTCTCTCTCTGGTCCCTATCTCTCTGGTCCCTCTCTCGCTGGTCCCTCTCTCGCTGGTCCCTCTCTCTCTGGTCCCTCTCTCTCTAGTCCCTATCTCAGTTGTGTTGTGTGTTGAGTGTGTGTCTGAAGTGCGGATGAGGAGTGTGTTCTGGCTTTTTGACTCTTCAACTGCAGCTTTTAGCAGTTTCTACAAGAGGTCAGAGAAGACGACGACCTGAAGCTACTGCTCTCTGCGGGCAAAGAGACTGAGAGAAGCCATGGCCTCGGTCTATGTGGACCAGACCTACTGTGGACCAGACCTACTGTGGACCAGACCTACTGTGGACCAGACCTACTGTGGACCAGACCTACTGTGGACCAGACCTACTGTGGACCAGACCTACTGTGGACCAGACCTACTGTGGACCAGACAGACTGTGGACCAGAACTACAGAGGACCAGACAGACTGTGGACCAGAACTACAGAGGACCAGACAGACTGTGGACCAGAACTACAGTGGACCAGACAGACTGTGGACCAGAACTACAGTGGACCAGACAGACTGTGGACCAGACCTACTGTGGACCAGACCGACTGTGGACCAGACAGACTGTGGACCAGAACTACAGTGGACCAGACAGACTGTGGACCAGACCTACTGTGGACCAGACCGACTGTGGACCAGACAGACTTTGGACCAGAACTACAGAGGACCAGACACACTGTGGACCAGACCTACTGTGGACCAGACTTACTGTGGACCAGACCGACCGACTGTGGACCAGACCGACTGTGGACCAGACAGACTGTGGACCAGAACTACAGTGGACCAGACCGACTGTGGACCAGACCAACTGTGGACCAGACCAACTGTGGACCAGACCAACTGTGGACCAGACCTACTGTGGACCAGACCTACTGTGGACCAGACCGACTGTGGACCAGACAGACTGTGGACCAGAACTACAGAGGACCAGACAGACTGTGGACCAGAACTACAGAGGACCAGACAGACTGTGGACCAGAACTACAGTGGACCAGACAGACTGTGGACCAGAACTACAGTGGACCAGACAGACTGTGCACCAGAACTACAGTGGACCAGACAGACTGTGGACCAGAACTACAGTGGACCAGACAGACTGTGGACCAGACCTACTGTGGACCAGACCGACTGTGGACCAGACAGACTGTGGACCAGAACTACAGTGGACCAGACAGACTGTGGACCAGACCTACTGTGGACCAGACCGACTGTGGACCAGACAGACTTTGGACCAGAACTACAGTGGACCAGACAGACTGTGGACCAGAACTACAGTGGACCAGACCGACTGTGGACCAGAACTACAGTGGACCAGACAGACTGTGGACCAGAACTACAGTGGACCAGACCGACTGTGGACCAGACCAACTGTGGACCAGACCGACTGTGGACCAGACCAACTGTGGACCAGACCTACTGTGGACCAGACCGACTGTGGACCAGACAGACTTTGGACCAGAACTACAGAGGACCAGACACACTGTGGACCAGACCTACTTTGGACCAGACAGACTGTGGACCAGACAGACTGTGGACCAGAACTACAGTGGACCAGACCGACTGTGGACCAGACCAACTGTGGACCAGACCGACTGTGGACCAGACCGACTGTGGACCAGAACTACAGTGGACCAGACCGACTGTGGACCAGACCAACTGTGGACCAGACAGACTGTGGACCAGAACTACAGAGGACCAGACAGACTGTGGACCAGAACTACAGAGGACCAGACAGACTGTGGACCAGAACTACAGTGGACCAGAACTACAGAGGACCAGACACACTGTGGACCAGACCTACTGTGGACCAGACTTACTGTGGACCAGACCGACCGACTGTGGACCAGACCGACTGTGGACCAGACCAACTGTGGACCAGACCGACTGTGGACCAGACCGACTGTGGACCAGATAAGACTCTGGACCAGACCGACCATGGACCAGACCTACTGAGTGGTCTCCCTCCCTCTCTCTCTCTCTCTCTCCCTCTCTCTCCCTCACTAAATCTCTCTCTCTGTCCCCTCTCCCTCTCTCTTGCTTGCTCCCTCTCTCTCCCTTTCTCCCTCTCTCTCTCCCTCTCCCTCTCTCTCTCTGCCCCCTCTCTCTCTCCCTCTCCCCTTCTGTCCCCTCTCCCTCTCTCTTGCTCGCTCCCTCTCTCTCCCTTTCTCCCTCTCTCTCTCCCTCTCTCTCTCAGTCCCCTCTCTCGCGCTCTCTCCCTCTTTCTCTCCCTCCCTCTCTCTCTCTTATCTCTTCCTAATCTGTGTTGTTCTGCTGCGATGGGGATTGTTTATCGATCTATTGAACAAATGCATCGATCTCTGAAGTCGACCACAGAGACCTGAGCCGGAGGGGCCTCTGCTGTCTCTCCCCCGGTGTGAGACCCTCTCCCATTCTCTGTGAGGGGCTTTACCTCACCGCAGGCCCCAGAGAGAGGGGAGAGAGGAGGGGAGGGCAGGGGTGAGGGCAGGGAGCAGCTGGCAAAGCGGCCTGAAGCGGCTCGCCTCTCGGATATTAAGTGAGTATGAAATATGTATGTATCCGTCCACATGAGTCATACATGCAGAGACTTGAAACACTTGTGTCTGATGGGAGAGCACTGGTTTAATGGGAACACATTAAGTCTCTGGTTTCACTCTGGTCTCATGCCTCGTTAAGTGACCAGTACGAGTTCAAACACTCAACAATGTTTTGGGATTGGGAATCTTAGTTTTATTGACATGTTTCTGCATCTACTGTATACAGGGAGCTACAAGAGGCTATGGTATGTTCTTCAGTCCTGGATCTACAGCGTCAGTCCCGGGTCTACAGCGTCAGTCCTGGATCTACAGCGTCAGTCCCGGGTCTACAGCGTCAGTCCTGGATCTACAGCGTCAGTCCCGGGTCTACAGCGTCAGTCCTGGATCTACAGCCTCAGTCCTGGATCTACAGCCTCAGTCCTGGATCTACAGCCTCAGTCCTGGGTCTACAGCCTCAGTCCTGGATCTACAGCCTCAGTCCTGGGTCTACAGCCTCAGTCCTGGATCTACAGCCTCAGTCCTGGATCTACAGCCTCAGTCCTGGATCTATAGCCTCAGTCCTGGGTCTACAGCCTCAGTCCTGGATCTACAGCCTCAGTCCTGGATCTACAGCCTCAGTCCTGGATCTATAGCCTCAGTCCTGGATCTACAGCCTCAGTCCTGGATCTACAGCCTCAGTCCTGGATCTATAGCCTCAGTCCTGGGTCTACAGCCTCAGTCCTGGATCTACAGACTCAGTCCTCCCCTATATCTAACAACTAATCATTGGACTAACGTCTTTAATATAGAGCATATGAAGCAATTACTCTCGTTTAAAAAAGCATGATGTAGATTTCTTCTTTTGACCAGATACAAGTTTCAAAAACCACAATCCAAACAACTACTGTGTCTTTCCAAAACCCAGGACGATCAACAACTAAAATAGATAACATCAGAACGAACTATGGGATGAAAATATTCAGGAAAAGTCAAATCCAAGGAGAATCTGTCACTTCAGCACTCAGTGACAAAGAAACATCCATCCATCCATTTTCTTCCCCTTAATCCATTTCTGGGTCGGGGGGGTGGCAGTCAGAGCACCAGCCCCTCACTGATCCTCCTGCAGGTGCTGAGTCCACAGGAGCTGAGATCTTTCAATGGGAGCTTCAGGCAAAGTGGGGCAAAGTGTCTTGCCCAAGGACACAACAACAGCAGTCATCAGTGGGAGTCGTGAAGTAGGTCTTACTGTGGGCTCGAACCCACAACCTTCAGGCTCAAAGGCCAATGCTTTACCAACTGAGCTACTGTCGCCCCAAAGACAAAGAAACAGCCATCGTCAAAACCACTACAGCAGCCTACCTTCTGTGTCCTCCTGGTGTCTGTGTCCTCCTGGTGTCTGTGTCCTCCTGGTGTCTGTGTGGCCTCCTGGTGTCTGTGTCCTCCTGGTGTCTGTGTGGCCTCCTGGTGTCTCTGTGGCCTCCTGGTGTCTCTGTGGCCTCCTGGTGTCTCTGTGGCCTCCTGGTGTCTCTGTGTCCTCCTGGTGTCTCTGTGTCCTCCTGGTGTCTCTGTGGCCTCCTGGTGTCTCTGTGTCCTCCTGGTGTCTCTGTGGCCTCCTGGTGTCTCTGTGGCCTCCTGGTGTCTCTGTGTCCTCCTGGTGTCTCTGTGGCCTCCTGGTGTCTCTGTGGCCTCCTGGTGTCTCGGTGGCCTCCTGGTGTCTCGGTGTCCTCCTGGTGTCTTGGTGTCCTCCTGGTGTCTCTGTGGCCTCCTGGTGTCTCTGTGGCCTCCTGGTGTCTCTGTGGCCTCCTGGTGTCTCTGTGGCCTCCTGGTGTCTTGGTGTCCTCCTGGTGTCTCTGTGGCCTCCTGGTGTCTCGGTGTCCTCCTGGTGTCTCGGTGGCCTCCTGGTGTCTCTGTGGCCTCCTGGTGTCTCTGTGGCCTCCTGGTGTCTCGGTGTCCTCCTGGTGTCTCTGTGGACCCTGTTGTTGTTCCCCAACTTCCC